GGCGCAATATAGTTCATGGGGTCACAAAGAGTCGGACACAACTTAACGACTGAACAACAACAACAACTATCAACTAATACTTGCTTACAATGAAAACATTTGCTTTTGGGGGGGGGTCCTTTTAACCAATCTGAATGGATCTTTTTGGAGCTCTTCATGGTCCCTTTTTGATATCATCACTGAACTTGGCATCTTACTGCTTATCTCTAATTCTGGATCATTTATAAGCAAATTGAAAAGTACTGCTCCAAGTATTCAATACTGACATGTTTACCATCAAGTATCCCAAGTAGTCAATGTTGACATCTTTAGAAAAGTCTTGAAGGTTAGGTGACACAAAACTTACTTTTACAGAATACAGCTAAGTCCTTTTTAATAAATTCCATTGTTCTGTATATTTAAATTTGTTTATTTTAAGCACTTTGTAGCATTTTATGCAGAAAGGACATTAAACCAACATGTCTACAGTCTCTGTATCTTCTCTGGTTTCCTTTTTAAAAATTGCACATTTTACAGACTTTGGGAATAGGCGCTAACCTTTGAAAAATTCATTTTTTAAAGAACTCTCAGGCAAATACCATTTGAACCTGGGGTTTTATTTATTTTTAATTTGGCCTGTAGGCTTATGACTTCATATTCTATGACTAATGTTTGTTTTCAGTTATTTTGATTCTCTTCCTGAAAAAGCTAGTTCAGGCATAAGCCTGTATTGTATGTCCTCCCCAGTGAAGATGAAAGCAAATACTTTATTAAACTTGTCTGCACTAACATATTTTTAATGCTCTGTCATTCAGTAGTCCAATAGCCTCCTTGACTGTTTTGTTGTTATCGTTATTGTTCCTAATATATTTTAAGAGAGCCAGTTTGGTGTAGTGGTTAAGGCACCAGGCTAGAAACTGGGAATCCTGCCTTAGACATGAAGCCAGCTGAGTGACTTAGATGCCAGTCACTTTCTCCAGCCCTAGGAAGGTGATGATGGCAAACCACTTCCAAAAAATCTTGCCAAGAAAACTGCAGGAGTCCAGGCAGTCACCAGGAGCCAACACTGACTTGAAGGCACAAATGTGTGTGTGTGTATTCTTGATTTTCTTCCAGGATGAAATAATTCTTGGTAGTAATAACACAATTGATAACCGTGAACCAGCAACGCAATTCAGACACGCACACACACAAAAAAGTATTCTGAAATTCTGC